CTGATGCTGATGCTGATGCTGATGCTGATGCTGATGCTGATGCTGATACTGATGCTGATGCTGATGCTCGTAATAGTTCGTTTTTGATCACTCGCGGCTTCTCTACGCGCCCGACCGGAAACCTTCCAGATTGTACTGTTGTAGTTCGTAGTCGCGTAACAACCGCCGAATTTGTTCGCGTCTGCCCGAACGATACTTTCGCGAGGTTCTGGTGTCTTTCATCTACTGAGAGGGAAAAAATGGAATTTATATAAATTCTAATCGGGGATGAATCTCATGTCCCGCCAATCGTTAGCAAGTCCATGCAACCCTTTACGACCGCTGGTTTTGTGTCTATTCCTTTCAAAGCCGGCATCGACGCCTCGACCCTGATTGGAATGTCCGCTCTGCCTTGGATCGGAAAGGAGCCGCGTTAATCAAATCCGTGGCTACTGTTCGGGAAAACAGGCTTCGACGCCTCGATCGACCCTTACAGCAAGCACGAAAGTGACTTTGGACCTGAGTAAGATGACGGAAAAAGAAACCCACGACAAAGCAATGTTTCTATCTTTAGGATTTCTAAATGACCGGCTTCAACGCCTCGATCATAAATCGAAAAGATAGTTGGTTTATCTATAATTTGTTCCTTTCTACCTCTTCGAACGCGTCGAATGATTTAAGGAAAAAATGACTAGAGCTTAGGTATTTGTTAAATTACGTTACTGTTTTCATTAAGTCCCACGCACGGTCTTTTATTATAGCAAATACAATCAATTACAATTTCTGAATAAAGGTTCATTATACCTTGACTTCGCAATAAACCTCGATAGTTAACTTTTAACGATTCCTGAACTTTTACAAATACGATTCTGAACGAGAACTAGGACGTGGACTAACTACTCTGAACAAAACTAGAACGAGGACTATGTTCTTAACAATTACGGGCGACAACTGAGATACTTCGGTTCTTAACGATTTCGGACAACTGGCCCGAGCTCCTGAAATACGGGCGTACTTATACCCCTAATTCGGGACCTTTGGTCCGAAGGTAGGAGGAAAAAAACCATACCACGTGATTATTAAAAATTCCATGGGTGGTGGTTGATTTCTTCCCATGGCGTTAGC